TGTGCCTATGCAGGGACCAGGCAATAAGGACCTGTGCTAGGGCTGGAAACTGCATCCTTGACTCCACTGCTTCTCCCTGAACCCTTCCCCTGGCTGCTCTAAGGCTTTCTGCACTTTGCATTTTAATATTTGTTGGCTAAAATGGATAAACAGCAGTGGGAAATATTGTGGAGAAGTAGAAGATGTAGGTTCAAACCTGACTTAGGGGGTTGGGCAGAGTGATAGGGAGATAGGGGATGCTCCTTGTGCCTCCCCCACCCACCTTCCCAGGGGATCCTGATGAATGACAGACTTTCCTCTCCTTTGCCAGGGAAGGGACCAGGCTGTCAATGATCAGCTGGCTGCTGCTGAAAAGCAACAATTCCCAAAGAGCCACCTGCCACTTGTGAGGGTGGTGGGGGTGCGGAGAACAGCTCTCTTTGCCCCTGCCACCCCTGGTAGTGCCACTGCCACTTCCAGAGCTCCAGAACTTGCAGCGACTGTGGATATTCCCTAACCTGAACCTTCCTCCTGGCTTTGCTGATCAGTGGAGCTGGACAGGTGCGGAGCCACTGGGTTCAACAGAACAGCAGTTCTGTCGACTGACATGGCCCAAACAAAACGGCTCCCAAGGGAATTGCTGCCACTCCTTTACCAAAGTCCCTCTTTGAAAGAAGTACTGTTCTGTAGCACTTTTGTCCGTTTTGTAGCTCTGCAAACAGTTTGAAGGGCTGTATGCTCACTTTCTGTAGCACTACGAGGGTATATTTGATGCTACAAATGTAACTGTCATCCATGGCCTAGGCTTCCCATTCATCGTGCAAATGCAATAACCAATAGGCTAGTGGGCTAAAAGGTAGAAACTGCCACTCATCATCTTGTGTCAAGCAGTTGCTGGTTATGGTTCTTTTCCAATCCAACTTTTGGGGACTTTTGTGTGTAGCTGGGCAATTATATTCTACCCAAGAAGCTGTAAAGCTATTATTCAGCCTTCAAACAGGCTGAGAAGGCAAGCACAGGGCGAGCTCAGCTACGCAAGTGGAAGTAGAAATAAATCTCTGCATAAGTGCCAAAAATTAGACTTATCTAGCCACATAATGGATACTTGGAAGCATACAGGTGGAATAAGTATTGCCGCTTACTGTCTGTGCTTCAGTTCCTCATCAGTAAAATAGGAATAGTAATTCCTATCTCAATGGGTGTTGTGAGGTACTCAGACTAAGGTAAATGGGGTCATATACATATCGTAGAGGAACAGGCCCATTTTTCTGAAATGGCCAAATCTTCAGTTGGTGTAAAGCAGTGTAGTTCCATTGAAGTCAATGGGAAAGATCCAGTTTTACATCAGCTTGTAATATGGTCCCAAACTGGAATTTTATGTTTAGCTATTCAGTTTCCTAGTATATTGAGGTCACATAGCTCTAGCCTCCTGAATCTCCTCCCCAAGAAGTGTCTGATGAGCTGAAACATCATTTTTCAATTTAGCACATAATAAAGCTTCATCATCAAAGCACTCTGCAAGCACTGGCTGAGAGAGCTTCCAAGTAACCCCCTGGGAAGCAGGCAAGTCTGATCCTCATTCTGCATAGTGGGAAACCAATGCAAAGAGGTTAAGGTCAAGCTTTTGAAGAGCAGTCTTTAATTATGGGTGCTTCCATTTTTTGACTCTGAGGCTCCAGGGTGCTGAGCACCTGTCACTCCAGATGCACTTAGTGAGATCTGTGGGTTCTTAGCACCTTTGAATATCAGGCCCGAGTGTGACTCATGACAAACCGAGGCCACCATAGTCACAGGCCATTTGGTCTGATTATTAGTGTCAGCTGAAGAGAAACCAAAGAACAAGAGAGCTAGGGCTGGTGGAGGGCTGGACTGAGATATGCTGTGGTAGAACAGTGAAGGGGGAGGCAGTGATATCAATTACTCAGCCCAAGAAATACCCACTTCATCTCAAACACATTTACAAAAAATAAAAGCATTTGGAGGAAAGGGTTAGATAAGGAGTTTTACAAAAAAGATTGCGGAAACTGATTGGTTCCTTTTTGCTTACATGTCAAATTTCCACATATCAGATTGGCCTGAGGGAAAATGTACTAAGTAGTTCTCCACTGTTTTGCACCTTGTGCAGTCATTTGTGCCAATGCAAGGTGGATGTAAAGTGCTTCTATCCTGTTCTCATGACATTTCACACTTGTGGTACACTGGTAAATGTGGCAGGGGGAAATGGTTCATGTAGCTCACAGAGAGAACCACATATTCTAGAATAGCTCGAAGCACTAATATATACTTTACTCCCCATGGCTCACTCCCTAAATATCCATGGAGAGGGTTCCATAGTTTGTGTAAGTACTGTCATAAAGTCATGCACAAATGACTTTGGTAAATACTTAGGAAAAGAGGCTCTATTTTTCTATTCTTACAGACTAGTGACACAGGGATTTGTTTAAGAGGGTGAGCAGGATACATCTTTTCCAAATATTGAGCGAGGAATCTACAAGGCTTGCTCATTTCAGTCCACCTAAGGTGTGCTTATTTACAGACAAATAGAGTCCAAAAGGAGCAGGTCAGTGGAGTCCTTCCATTTCAGATATCAAAGACAGAGAGTGATCTGCAACCCACAGGGTGCAGCGCCTTGCTTTAACCTTTAGAGTTCCATACAGTTTCTAGAGAGGGAAGATGTCTTGATGAACTCCGACTCCCTTTGGAAGGTCACTTTGATGATTGTATGCAGGTCTTGCATACATTCTATACTATTTGGAAGAAAAAAGGGTGATAGCTGTACATTCATCTTGTCTATAGCTTTGGTAGGCTGGGACACACACATGTGCAGGAGGCCAGTACAAGGTCTGTGCAAAACCCAAGTTCCACTTAAGATCTCTTTTGGAGACTTGGAGCCAGATTCTATTCCACCTAGTGGGCATCTAAGTGGACTTAAGTGCCTAAGTATGGTTTTATTTCACTCTGAAAAACCATTAATACATCTATTTTTTAATGCACTGTCATCTGACCCTTAAGATTTAATCACAAAAAAGCAGTGAGAAGAAAGAGGATCCATCCACCTTTTGAATTAACAGGTTTTCAGGGACTCAAGTAGGATGAAATAGAGCAGCACTTAGATGCCTAAGCTCATAAATATACATAGTAGGTGGAACAGAATCTGTCCCTTAACTATTGTATAAGGCTTGCTCTGACTTTAGGTCCTAAGGTGAATTTCACCCAAGGTGCTCTGAATTATGTGTGGGATTCAAAGCAGCAACAGTGGGGAGCACTGTATGGCAAGTCTGAAAGGCATCAGCAGAGTGCAGCTTTAGCAGCACAGGGTCCTGTGGGTCAGGATAGGGTATACTGGCCAAGTTGGAGCCCAGTGCTAGCAAGATGTGGGGGCAGGTTGTGGATTAGAAGTGATACACATTAGCAGAGGTGTGTTGGGCCCAAGTATCAATTAGCAAGAGACACAGCAGGCGAGACTTAAATTGTCAAAGTTATAGATCAGAGGTGGGAGGCCAAGCTGAAACAGTGGAGATGCTTCAGGCCTGGGGTGCAGAGATCTGGTATGATTAGCATGGCAAATCTCCCTTATCAAGTTAGTGCTGTCAGCCCTACATATTCATGGCAGTAGTCTCTAAAAATAGTTGGCTCTGGAGTCAGTATCTCTTTTAAATGGTGTTTGTCTCTTGGTTCTGTCCTGTAAAGGATATAGCAAAGTGTGGGAGCCTTCTGAACCAATGGTTGTGGCCACTACCTGTGCAGTAATGGGTGGGTGCTCTGCTTTGAGTTACTGCGCTTGGCATTACATATCTCAGAACACCTGAGATCACCTGACAGCAGGTTAACGTCAGGCCCCTTCCAATGTAGGGTCAGATCTTTGAGTGTCCCTGTGGTCAGATTCTGCCTCCCAAAAATACTACTTACTTCCTAGGATTTTTGTCTGTAGTGTCCCATCTTATATAATGATAGAAAAGTAGAGCTGGAGTGGCCCCTTGGTCAAGGCAAGATGGTCTCTTTCTAAATCATTGTAGACGAGTGTTTGTCTAACCTGCTCTTAAAAACTTCTGAAGACAGAAACCTACCTCTGTAGGTTTCCTGTCTTACAGTATGTCACGAAAATGATCTCCATTGCCATATTACAACCTGCTAGAAATACCGGCAAGGGGAGAAAGAACTGAACATCTCTGTTTTCCATCATGGTTAGAATCCAAAGATTTTTTCCCCCATGAAAGAGGCTAAAAAACCATGTATGATAAGCCCAGAAACCTTGGAGTGAAAAGGTTTGAAGAGTCAGGTCCTTCCAGAAATTGAGCTAAAAATGCTTTGGGTGAAATTTTTGCTGTATTGAAGTCTATGGCAAAATTCCCACTGATTTCAATAGAGCCAAGGTAAGCTGTAAAATGGAAACTACTACCTTTTACTGCTTACCTAGTAGCATAAATACCTTTTTCCAAGCTTCAGGGCAAATCCAGTGATGAGTTTGGCTATGGTAGTTCCATTGAAGTACTTTGCAACTGTCCTTTTGCCTTCAGTGAGACCTGGATTTGGCCCAAAGGCATTCTAAGCCTTTTGGCTAACATGAAATATTGTATCAATTTAATATCTCATGAAACTTCTCTCTGGGTAATATTTCTACACTTTTAGGGGGAACGTACTTGATGATCCTGTGGCCTTTTTCCATCTCTAACTACTGTGACACTAATCTGACTAAATCTCTGTGTAGCAAAGATTTGAGGATGGTGTAATCTGTCATGCCATAAATGTGGCAATGCATTGTAAAAATAGATTTATACTGAAATGCTATTTTGTTGCAGCAGTTGCTATAGTTTCAGTTCTGGCAAAGATTTCCTTACAGTAAACCCTGGCTTTACAGGAGGTGTTATAAGTCAGCTGTTTTGATTCATATCAAGCTAAAAAGTGCCACAAAGAGATCTATATGCAAAACTAATCTCCACTATGACCTCAGAACAGTCTTGAAGTGCATGCTGCTTCTGCACAAGACAGTTATTAACTCAGCTGCAATGTTCATTTTACAGTGCTCAGTCCTAGGCTGCAGGACAGCAGAAAATTACTGCAACGAGGAGCAACATAGAAAAAGTGAAGTGCAATAATGATTCGGTCACCTGCATTCAATAAATTGAGCTCCAGTTCCAGTGCAAAGGTACATGTCTTGTATTCTTA